TCTACAGTAAATCAATTCTCATTTTCAACCACACATTCTTCAATAAAATAATATTTTCCATCACATCAATAATTTTTTCTTCTTTTTCAACCACACATTTCCCATCATATCACAATTCAAAAATCAATTCTTCCCTCAAAAATCTCTACCAAACACACTCTTAATATATAATTATTATACTGTATTCTGAATTTGCTTTGAGTTAATTCTTCAATTTCTACTCATTAAGCATTTGTTAGCCCAAATCTGATTTTGAAAATGTATATAAAGCAACATTTTTTGCCCACTTCTTGTTTTAGCCATCGAACATCCAGTAATTACGGAAATTACTTATATTAGNNTAATTACGGAAATTACTTATATTAGTATGAATGAACAAAATAAAAAGAAACAAGGAAAGCATTGGTGATTCAAATCTTTCTCTGAGCCTGGTTTTACAATCGATATCTCTTTTGACAATTCATTTTATATCCCAGGAAAAAAAAAGTGATTACATTTTGTTGTGGAAGACGGTTACACTGATCAAATACTTGGCAAGGCAAAAAGACAAAAAAAAAAAAAAATAGTAGTTGATTTTGCAGAATAATGAGAGTTTGCATAAAATTTGAGGAACACCTCAAGTTATATTCAATAATCAATTATTTCTACCGACCCCTATGTGTTTTATGTAAATAATTCAATGTTGCCCTAAACAGGATTTCAGTAGAATACAATAATAAAGAAATCTTACAAAAATAACTCTTAATCAAGTAATTTCAAAACGTAAGAAAAATTAACAGGAATTGTTGTGTAAAGAATAATGCTATTTGTCCCTAGTAGCGATCATCCTCATTTGATGTGGCATGTGATTTAGAGTGAAATTGTAAGACAAATTAAATGTGTAGATATGAAAATCACTTATTTGATCTTATCATTTAATGTCACATCATATTAGATTATCCCATCGAGCAAAAATAGCATTGCATGCCAAAAAGTTTTTTTTATCCCTAAAATGATGAAATTTGCCATATATTGGGGTCATTTGATATTATCTAACATATGCATGCTCATGATCAGACAATATCAATTGTTTTATTATCTAAAATTATATTTATCTTGCTATTTGTTGCGGGCTTTTGAGCACCGCTATTTGGTTCAGCTACAAAATTCAATCAAAATCTAAGTTAAAATCAACAATTAATTTTAACCACTTATTTTATGAGACGCACAATTTTTAACTATACATTCTATCAACTGTTATTAAAATCTACTGAAAATCTATTTTTATCTAGAACAAAGAGTGGCTCACTATGAAAGTCCACATATTAAATTACAATTGCTAAACACCATTCCCTTAATTGAGCTCAACAATAAGCATGATTTCATATAGTATACTATATGAAATTAAGTAAATATTAGAAAATTCATCCTGTTAATCTATTCGAAACAACCTTAAGTATGCTACAAATATCTTCAAAAAATTGGGTGCTTTGTTTGAGTTGAGAAGGTTCACTTGGTGGCTGATCAAAGTTTTTGTCACATGATTCAGTCTCTTTCAAGATGTCATCTGCTTTGGAAGGCAGAATTTGATGATAGTTTTCGGAGCTGAGAAGTTGCTTCCATTCTAGCAGACAATTAATGGCACGTACATAATTCCCCAAACACAAACGATATCTCTCTTTCATGAAATCTTTTTTTCTAGTTTGACGAGGAGTTGAACTGTGTCATAGGCTAGAATGCCACTAGTTTGCGCATTTTCCGTTAATTTTTGGGCTATTTCACTAAGGTTTGCACCATGTTTATCACTTAAAACCTGCAAACATGTAGAGTTATTTCGTGTTTCTGAGCAAATATCACTTACCAAATCAGATCCTTTCTCTATTTCTGCAGATGTAAACCTGCAATAAAGACAGGGTACTGGGGCAAAGAAGATGCCATTTCAATAAAATCAAATTCTTCTCTGTTGAATGGTAACCACCCCAGGATTATAACACAGTCTTGTAATCTTCCAATTCCATATAATGGTGAAATAGATGTAAATCTCAATTAATTCGCACATAATTTACGTAAAGATCAGATGTGCCTTTAATGCCCTATTTAATAATGTCAATTGATAGACCTGATTTTAAAACGTGCTCACATAACGGTTACGAAGTAACCTTAATTTCTTAACTCCAAGAGTGCTAATACGAAATGGAAACAGAGAACAAACAAAGTTATCTAGTTTTCACCTTCGTTAAAAGAGCTAAGTCCACTTGTCAGAGCATATTTTCACCACAAAGAGATACAAGGCCTAAGTGTATAGGTTAGAAGAACCTAAAACCCCTCTCTAGTAAGTTTTGCTTTAAGTGTTTGGATTTGAAGAGATGGAAATGCACTTTGAATTCTTATTGATTTTGGCCCTCTTTACTATTTTGAACGCTAAATTAATGATATAGACGGCAGGGGGTAATCCGCAATGTTTGGGTAAACTAAGGGGATTTTGTGCCAAAATGAAAGGTCAAGGGAGTATTCCGCAAAACAAACAAACGTTAGAAGGTATTACCCTTTTGACATCTTAATAGGGACGATGATTTGGTTTGGTCACTAATGGTCTTCACTGGTCGCCCAAATTTTATCTGCTCATTTTTTTTTATTTCTTGTGTACAATTTGATGGCTTGAATTTTCTAGGATGTTGATGTAGGTAATTTTGGTAGAAGTGTGCAGTTGGTTTGTTAGGACTTTGAATTGTACTTTTGGGTTGGGGTGCGATGGTAGCATGGGTGGTGCTTTTGGCTAGGGAGGAGAGGCTTGGCTTTGGGATGGGGAGATGTGGTTTGTTAGGAGGGGGATCCTTGGGGAAGAAGATGTTTTCTCCCTTATTTATAAATTGCTTTTGTCACTAGTTTTTAATTGTTTTGGCGCGTTCTACTCATACTTTTGAAAAGATTTGGAGCTTATGTTGCAACTATTCCTCCATTTTATTGTTTTGTTGCTTTTTTGTTTGTTTATTTAAAGAAGAAAGCGAATTCGTCATTTTATATGGATGTCGGTCAAAATGGACGAAAGACGAGTTTTGTTACATTTTCGAAATGTTGGAATGTCTCGTGCTAAAAAAAGATTTTACAGTTCGCAAGGTTGGGGACAAAGACACGCAAATCTCCCAAATAAAAAAAAATGATTTTGAAGTTTCCAATTCTTTTCAATCCAAATCAGTATTCGTGCGTGAATAAATGATTTGTTGATCAAATCAATTACTTAGTAGTCATGTAGATCAACGGGATTGTGACTTTAATTGAGCCCTCATATTTAGTTGATTCAACAAGTCTAGTATTTGATTAGGAGAGCCGCCATTTAAATCTATAATTGTTATAAATCTATCACATTCTATATACATTCCTATTAAAATTTTAAAAATCATTATTTTATCCATATCATATTCTAATATTGTTCTTATTAAATTCATTCATTTAAATACTACGTTTTGAATTACAACTTTTAATATTTATGAATATGTTTTGAATTATAATTCGTCGATTTCTAGTCCTTAGCATTTATGAATCCAAATCTGAACTTGATGTGAACAACATTAACGAAGAAAAGAAGCAAAAAAAAAAAAACTTTCATATAGCACTTGGTAATTAATGCAGAAAATTCCCTTAATTGAGGTCAACAATAAGCGTTATTTTGTAGATTATACTTACGAGATTAGATAATTCGACCTGCTAATCTATAGGAAACAACCACGAGGATACTACAAATATCTCGAAAAGATTTTGTTGTTAATACGAGTTGTGGAGGTTCACTTGGTGGCTGTTCAAAGTTTTTGTCACATGATTCAGCCTCTTTCGACATGGCATCTGCTTTTGATAGCAGATTTTGATAGTTTCCAGAGTTGACAGATTGCTTCCATTCTACGAGATCATCCATGATACGAACATAATTCCCCACACATGAACGACATCTCTCCCTCTTCAAATAATTTTTTTCTTGTTTTTCACACAGTTGAGCTGTGTCATTTGCTAATAATGCCGTAACATGTGCTACAAAAGTTAATGATTGGGCCATTTCGCTGAGGTTTTTTCCATGTTCTCCTCTTAATTCGTACAAACACTCGGAGGAATTTCGTGTTTTCGAGCATATTTCACTAACCAAATCAGATGCTTTCATATCGGTTTCTGCAGATGTGAAATGGAAATAAAGACGGGGTACTGAAACGAGAATGAACAATAACAAATAGGGAGAAGAAAATGCGCCCATTTCACGTTTTAGTTTAGTTTGTGTTGTGACCTCTATTCCTTTGTGGTGTAATGTATATGAGTAGGGTGTATATATGCACAAAATCAAATTTTTGATTACTTGAATATTTGCGGGGTGTAAGGAATCAGTTGAGATTTACAGTTCATTTTTGCTGTCCAATTTGTTGTCCACCCCATTGCAAATTAACCTATCATGAAAAATTATTGTTGTCATCCATTTTAATTTTTCATGATGTGTCAATTTGTAATTGGATGGATATAAAATTGGACATCAGATCTCAACTCGTATGAAATTAGATATCAAGAATCAAAATCATGCATAATGGAATCTTAGCTGTAGAATTGACCTTTGTAAATCTAGCACCGATTGTATTTAACACGTGTCTAGGTGTCAAGATATATAGTANTTTTGGTATGCTGGATTTGGTATTCATATTTTCTAATCTGCTATTCTAAACTACTATTAACAAATTTACCTGATGTTATACGGTATTATTAAAATAATCTTTAACTTTTGTTGTTGCGAGTATGTTCAAAGTTTATCGGTATATGTCAAATTCAGCAATTCAGTTATCAATCGCGCTATGGGTACCCGGTGCCTTACCCGGTGGTTTACACGCTGACGTGGCGGAATTTAAAATTTCAAATTCTTGCACCGGCCCAATAAAAAACCCAACCAATCCTAATTAAACCGGTCCAATAACAACACTTACTTCCCTTGGACGTGAAATGCAAAATCAGAAGGAAATCTGGAGAGGCGAATCAGAAACCCTAGGTCGCGAAATTGAAGACGAAATTGAAGCCACATCTTGACCGAAGGAAGAAGCAGGTGGAGGAAGAACGGCCTTTGTAGGTTCTCCCAAATCCCGAAAACCGAAAGATATGGCAGAGCGATCGCGTTTCCTCAAAATCGCAGAAAAACATTAGTTTGCGAAAACTTTAGTCGAAGTGCATCACTCCTCCATCTCGTCAGGAGCAAGAAGCTGGTGGACGTAGAGTGGTCTTTTCTCGGTTTGCCTATTTGAAGTCCGATGCTTTTTTTTAAATTTATGTTTAATCAGTATCATTTATACTTGGTGGCTTTGAATTGAAGATTAGACAGTGGTTTGTGGTTGTTGGTTAATGTAGCTGATATCTCGTTTTTTTCGTTTGAAGTATGTCAGGGAAAAACTCCGGTGTATGTCACAGTTGTCGCGAAAAAGGACACTTCTTTGCGGATTGCTTGAAAAAACGGCAATGCCCGCGGTGTAAGGTTGGGTTTGTGAAGTGCTTTGAGGTCGAGAATGATTTGACAAACAAGGGGAACAAGACAAAATCATTGACATACTCAAATGTCGTGTAACTGAAGCTGAACCCTTGTCCCGCCTGTTCCATACTCAATGTCGTGTAACCGAAGACAAAATCATTGACATTCAATTGACTGTGACAATACGCAATGCCAACGAAAGTGCAGAAGTGGATAAGAAAGGGAAGGGATTGGCCTGATTTGCATTGTGTAGTATGTGTTTTGTTACGAGTCTTGTTCTTCTAGTATGTGTAGTTGGTGTTCAGTTGGGTGAATGTTGTTTTGTAGGTAGTTGGATGGTGGTATGGAGAATGAGTAAATAGTTGGGTGAATGTATTGTATAGAGAACGAGTAACTGGTGTTCAATTACTTGAATGTTTTAGTGACTGGGTGACTGAATTGTAGGATAATTTAATGTAGGCCGAGGATGTCTGTAGTCATGTGAATTATGCAATGTCTGTAGTGTAGGCTAAGGATGGTCTGGAACTGAAGCAATTGCATTCAGTGTGTAATTCCTTCCAAGCTAATACATTTTGAGACTTGACAAATAACATTATTTCAATTGTTTGAAAAACTTCTTTGTGGATCTGAATAATGAATATGTTAGATACTTTTAGCTTTGAATGCACAGCCTGAAACTGAGAGAGAAATCCATTTCTACTAACAGTAAACCTCAACTCCAAGTGTATACCAAGTAACCATCAACCAGTTTAACATCATAATAAAGAATTGTAATAAAAATAAATCTGCTCGAATTCCTTCATAACACAGAATAGATTGCCATCATCGAAGTAAACAATGAATGTTGTATACAAACACATGAAAATAAACTGGTTCAGGAGAAGATCCTAAATTGCCATCATGGAATTAAACAACCACAGCACGAATGAACTAGACTTTCCAATTGTTGAACAAGTAGTGGACAAGATCCTTCCATTCCCTAAGTGATGCTCCAACATCTCCATTGTCACACATGATAATTCCTCACAAATTTGCGCCACTTTGGTGAGGAATATCCTACGTCGTACGCATATTTTTTGTAAAAGTTATATATTTCCTTGTCATTGTTGAACTTCATACCCACCTCGGGTGCAACCACACCGTCTACTCGTTCAATTCCATCATCCATAACATTCGCGTTGTCCAAAATGTTATCGTTTTCAGACTCTAATAGAAGGACATCATCCACCACGTCCGAATTTGCCTTCCCTGAGTAAACGAATTACAAGGTTAATTTTCTCAGCTTCAGGAAAAAAAAAAGCACAATTTCAGCTCAACATTATTACTCTTTCCCCTAATTATTATTTCAGTTTCACGGAAGAAACATTTAAGCTTTCCGCTAATTCAACTAATTTATGTTTACTAAACAAGAAATCCAAATCAGACAGAAAATGGGTAACAACATTTAGGCGTTCCTCTATTTCAACTAATTTATTTTCACAAAACGAGAAGCAGTCGTCGGCCAAATGGGTTGCACATTTCAGCTTTTCGCCTAATTTTAGTTACACATAGCTTTCCCCTAATTTTTGTTTCACAGAAGAAGCCGGGTAAAAGAAGTCGGGTAACGAACATACCTTCAAAATCCATCTACTACTTGGCCGACGACTGCTTCTTTGCCGACGACTGCTACCTCCTCGGCCGGCAACAAGTCAAATTCTTGGCGGTAATTTCCTTTATTTGGTGCAGAGTGATTCGCGGGCTTCCACTTTTCTCTTT